ATGAGCCGTAGGATGTGACAAGCGTTTGATTATGTTCCTATATTTTTTTCCGAGAGCTGACTCGTCTGTTTTTGAGAAATGAAAAATGGCTACCGTATAGGTAAATACCTTAACCTATTGTTGGTGTTCCTAAAAAGATATGCGCTGTATAGAACCTGGGCATTTCACGCATGACAGGTGGTTATGCATGAGGAGGCGCCTTTCCTTGCGGGTGCCCAATGGAGCCCGTCGCCAACATAAATGTCGCCTGATCCACAGCTAAGTGTCTGGCGCTACGCGGGGAGATATTTGATATAGCCCGATATTGGGCTATTGATTGGTTCTATTGTGCTTGCATCTCGTATCCTTCGTTTCCCTATGATTCTCTTATGCTTCTGATAATCATGTATATATATATATATATAATATATATATATACTATATAATTCCGACGAATGACCCTTTCTGTGTGCAAGGATGCCTGCGCCGAGATGCAGACACGTTTTATGAATCCGTGTTGTCTGCAAAGAGGTCGGCTCAGTCCCTCGCTCTTTCACCCGAACAACAGCGTCCAAAAAGTATATGGACAGCTCAGTTATGCGGAGGTCTACCCGGATTTTGGGACAGGGTTTATTTGCTTTTGCGTACAACTCTCAAAGCATGTTCCTTGCGTCGCCAAACCGGAAAAATGTTATTAATATACAGAAGGGAATTTGCGGCTTGAAGGGCAACGAGTTCGGCAGCTCATTTTCACACGCAACTGAATGGTTGCACCCTGGACGGGACCCAACGGCACAAACACACACACACACACACACAACACACACACCACAACACACACACACCCACACACACACACACACACACACACACCACACACACACACACACACACACACACGCACCACACACACACACCACACCACACCACACACACCACACCACACACACCACACACACCACACACACACACACACCCACACACACACACACACAACCACACACACACACACACCACACACAACACCACACCACACCACACCCACAACACCACAACCACACACACACACACCACACACACACACACACACACACACACACACACACACACACACACAACACACACACACACACACCACACACACCACCCACACACACACACACACACAACACACACACACACCACACACTCACACACAACCACACACACACACACACACACACACACACACACACACACACACACACACACACACACACACACACACACACACACACACACACCACACACACACACACACACACACACCAACACACACACACACCACACACACACACACACACACACACACACACACACACACACACACACACACACACACACACACACACACACACACACACACATAATATATCTAATAATATATATATATATATATCATATCTATATATATATATATATATATATATATATATATATGTCAAAACAAGGTTCAGTTCATAAACTTCTTACACGTTTGTTCAATTGTTCGAATGAATCCGTCGTTGTTTTCGGCAAGTCATGCATCACTTCGCCTTCCTTCCAAATCCGCCCCCAATCCGACCACTGTCAGATCAGTTATGGAATGGCCAGACGCGAGGAAATATCTCTGTGAGGGCAGGTCGACGGCGGGATTTGGCGCTCGGATGGAGGAAAGCTGCTTCTGCGGTCGGGCGTAGCTACCTCCCCTGTCTCCGCGACAATAGAACCGCCCGACATTTTTATCATTAGACGCCATGTATGGTGCTGCAAGGCTTGAGTCCTGTGGTCCTGGCATAAGAACATGCATTCTTACCTTCCTTATTCATTTCCCTTACCCTTACCCTTATCTTATTTCATTCCCCTTACCATGCCGTTTTCCACGGATATACGCCTGCACATCACACTTTCATTTCCACAGCACTCCTGACCCACTCCTCTTGGCCCATTTCAAAGTCCTCCTGACCCAGTCTTCCCGACCCATTTCCAAAGTCCTCCTGTCCCAGTCCCCTGATCCATTTCCAAAGTCCCCTTGACCCAGTCCTCCTGACCCATTTCCAAATTCCTTTTGAGCCAGTCCTCCCGACCCATTTCCAAAGTCCTCCGAACCCAGTCCGCCTGACTCATTTCTAAAGACATTCTGACTCAGTCGGCCCCCGTCGATTACTCACCTTGTTCTTTCGTGAACTGAATAATCTCTAAGGTCAGTTCTACGACGAGGGACCATCAGAAGCTCCTTGGGGAAAAACTTCTTTAACATTGCTTGATCTTCCAGAATATGACGTTTTCTGTGTAGGACCTCCCATGTGTTCTGCAACTGCTTAGAGTACGTAAAAAAAAACAGCGCAACCCTATCACCCAACTTTTGGCTACACCCTGCCAACCAACTTTTTCGGGCTTGACCCTTTCTTTGCCTTGCGAATCTACTTTCTTAAGCTTCCTTTCTAGTATATTTTCTGGATACCTCCTCCCTATAAGCCTGGCCTGTAACTCGCCCCTATGCCGGGCAGAGTTCTCCTTCCTAGAACAAACTCTCCTCATCAGTATTCCCTAATTCCGACGGAATGACCCTTTCTGTGTGCAAGGATAGCCTTCGCCGAGATGCAGACACGTTTTATGAATCCGTGTGGTCTGCAAAGAGGTCGGCTCAGTCCCTCGCTCTTTCACCCGAACAACAGCGTCCAAAAAGTATATGGACAGCTCAGTTTTGCGGAGGTCTACCCGGATTTTGGGACGGGGTTTATTTGCTTTTGCGTAAAACTCTCTCAAGACATGTTCCTTTCGTCGCCAAACCAGGGAAATGTTATTAATATACCGAAGGGAATCTGCGGCTTGAAGGGCAACGAGTTCGGCAGCTCATTTTCACACGCAACTGAATGGTTGCACCCTGGACGGGACCCAACGGCCGCTTCCTTTTTGCAGCCGATGAGTGCTTGCCGAGCCGTCTCAATGTCGGGCCGATACAGCCGGCAGCAGTGTCACCCGGTCGAGACGAGCTGCGCCATTTCTAAACCCGGAAGAAAGACACGCTGCCAATTGTCGAAAGATAATAGGAATCAACTACAAACGAACAAATGGTACATCTTGACAGAACACTTTTTTCGTGCTTGTTTGACTAAACACTACCGCTGTTCCCGCATTAACAAGCTCCGTGATGCATCGTTTGAGGCCCCCGCCTTTGACTTTGCAGAATCGCTAAGATAACAGGCTGCTCGCTCAAAACCACTCGTACATTCGTCAATGTCTTTACAGTCTACATTTCCAGACCTTATCTTATCATCGGATAAATATAAAGAGAACAAGGAATAAGTTTTGAGTTCTTATGGACGAAAGTTATGCATTGTTATCTTAATAACATCTAGAAGTGTGGAGAAGAGAAAAATTCCTGTTGTTACTTGGATACGTATAAGATGCGCCGCAATGAAAACGCTACAAAGAAAAAAACGGCAAAGGCGATCTAAAAATCGCACCAAACACATTTTCGATGCATTTTATGCGTATCCAAATAACAACAATTTTTCAGTCTTCGATATTGTTAAGATAGCGATACCCAACTTTCGTCACCCGACCCTCTTGTTCCCTGTATCTTATCTCGAATT